GGAGGCAACACAGGTGAAAAACACAGCATTCTTTGTGGACTAACAAAAGGACTGAAAGATACGACTTCACAACATCAGACACTGCGTTACACCAGATGCTGTCCCAGGGACACAGTAGCAGAGTTTAAGAAAAATAAAATGGACATCTTAAAATGGAGCACAGTTTGTGGGTTTAGTGATCAATGCTAAATAGATGAATTAAGCACCCACTTAGATATAGGCTAACTTACAGTGGTTACGCAAAAGAGATGTTAAAATGCCATAGGAAACACGAAAATCTTTCAAATTCTTAATTTTTCTGTCACTGAAATTAAGAAAATGTACCTATTAAGAATGAATGCACACCCACTTAAAGGACAGGACCTAAAGGAGAACACCTAACTAAACAAATCACAGAGACACGATGAAAACAGTATCCTGGGAAAGTCTGTCTGGCAGTGAGATACAGGCTGGTCCAATAAGGGGATGTTTTAATAGTCCCCTACTGATATGGAAAAATTAATGTACCTGTCCCCAGACTGCTCTGCTTTACAGCAGTTACCTTATGTATTTGGAAAGCCTGATTAATGAACTGCGTGTTGAAAACAAAAATAAACAACACATTAGGCTGAGACTGCCCCAATGTATTTTTTTTTGTTAATCTTCTTAGGCATTTACCTTTAATGAACATTGGCTTGGAAACATGCTGCAAACACGTAACTGAGAAGAAGCTAGTCTTCACTAAATTTCAGGATAAGCAGAAAAATGTCTTTAAAGCTCATCTTGTTTGGGGCTCCCACCCATCCTACAGTTCCACACCAGCAAGTGAGTGTCTCAGTACCGTAATCCACACCTTCTCTTTTACCACCACACCCATGAAGAAGACATTCACGTATATGACAGGTGCTCACGGTGCACTCGGGGATACGTGAAACTCTGAGCATGCTGGCTGGGACTTTACTCCTTTCTCTCCCATTTGGGATAGATCACTAGAATCCAAGTGAGACTGACATTATGAAAAATGACATTAGTAACAAATTACTTGCCACAAAACTCGAAGGAGATGACAACTATTGTGCTTCACACAGAATGTGGGAACCGTGGGTTTACCCTCTCTTTAAACGTGGGCAGTGATGGGGAATTCAGTAATCCCCAAGGCTCTTTTTTATTTAAAAAGCTCCGACAACAAAAACTTCTTTCTTATGTTGAGTCTGGATCTACCTCCCCATAGCTTCTACTCGTTGATTCTAGCCTACCACTTGGGCTTAAACAGAAGGATCTAGCTCCTCTCCATCTAATGACTAGTTAAGTATATGGAGATAATGACCATGGACATTCTCCTATAGCGCTTCCCCCACAGGCTGCTCTGCAAACAATACATTCCCTCACTCATATAAGGAATGACAATCTTTCCATTCTTTCTCAACATCTGCTTGCCTTGAAACTTGAGGCTGCCCCTTCAGAAAAATTCCATTCTCATTAAAATGGTCTACAGCCATGCTTTCAACTTGAGGACTCCTGGTTTCAACAGCAGGGATTTCCCATGATACTTTTCAGGCTCCTAAAAGAGACACTGTACCCCTTGACTTGGACTTCTTTCTACATCACTCATATACACAGAAACAAGAGAAAATTTCAGGATTTAGCTCAGGTGCCCTTTCTTCTAGGAAGTCTCCACTCGTCTACCCAACCTGAGTTAGGTCTTCCATGAAAATACTCCCCAAGGCATCAAGCACCATTGTCCCATAAGACACTAATCTATGTGTCTATTTCTTCCATCGAAACTGGAAGCTCCTGTAGGCGGGAACTGTACCTTAATCATCTTTATATTCCTGGTGCCTAGCAGGATGCCTGCCACATGGACGCATTTACAGATATTCCATGTGAATTAATGAACATGCCCACACCACACACACACACACACACACACACACACACACAATCACTGCAGCAACTGATGTAAATTTCGAAGAAACCAGAGGTCCCTCAAATTCTAGTGCTTCCTCTTGATAAAAAAATCTGCAGCTTTTCAAAGAAAAAAAAATCCGCACAGTGTCTGTACCACGGTAAGAAATTTAGTCTGTGAGGAAGCTTGTAAGCAACAAATACCACTTAAAATGAACAAAGAAACAATTCCATGCAGGCACTTAGGAGGAGGACAGAAATGGTTACAGGCAGGGTTCCTGCAGCCACAACAGAGCCGAAGGGGTCCACGCAGTCAGCTCCGAGACGGGAAGGCTACAAGGGCTAAGAGATGCACATGGTAACTTTACTGTATCTTAGCAGGATAGTGGATGTGGTGGCTGATTACGGAAACAACCTCTAGGAATACCCACTTCTCTCTCCCAGTAGTGCTGTGTGATGCAAACCTCTAATTTATCTCATTTTGTTGTCTCACTGCACCTCTGAAAACACAGTGAACAAAGGTCTCTCTGCTCTAAAGGAACAGGATGAACAGGAAATTGACCATGGAAAGGTGATTCTTCTGCAGGTTTGGGAACACTGAGCTAAAATGTTTTTGTGTGTAATAAACATATAAACAGAACAGATTTGGAGTCTAAATCTAAAGCATGTGCTTTCCAATTACCACAGAAACCTCTACCTTTAATGTGAATTTAACATGAGTAGAGATAAGGCAAAAGATGTGTGGGATGAAGCGGAATAAACAATTTCCACACCTCACTAAAACCTAAATCTCTCAGTCTACTTAGTTATAAACCCAAATACAAAACCACAAGTGTGTTCTTCAACCAGCAAAACCTTATTACGGTAATATCTAGATTTTGAAATAAAAGCTTCAGAAACTCATTATTTTCTAGGAAACAGGAGAAATAAACCTTACCAACAGACTCAGAGGGACGTCTGTGGGTCTCTGCCTGAAGTAAAATGTTTGTAAGGTCCTCTTTTATTTCAATTACTTTGCAAGACTGGCATGGATTCAAAGGCTCAATTAGTTGTTCAGTTATAAACACTGTTCTCCAAATTTCTTATTCTTTTTAATCTCATTTAAGAAATAGAAAGTTAGTTTGTCTCAGTTTAGGCAGTCGGCTACCGAGCTTATTACCTCGTGTCCTGGCAGAGGCTGAAAGCAAGACTCAGATTCTGATTCCTTAGTCCTAAGTTCCTAAACACCTGCCTAACCTGTCATTAGTGACAGGGCATTGGCCACGTGGAATATTATACACTCCCTCCAGGGTGGGGATGGGAGGGAGACGTCAAAGGATAAGGGGGACAAAGGAAAACTGGGTGTGGACAGAGATTGGTGCAAATGAACAGACCCACAGGGCTGCTCATAAAGAGGGGAGTGGTACTATGGGGACACTACGGCGAGCAGAGGAGTCAAAGCCAAGTCATTCTGAGCAGGTGTGTCGGGTTCTGGAGACTCATTATATCTCCTATCAGTGAGGCTCCTTATTCTATCGGTGAGGTCCATCTCAAGAACTTAGCCAGAAATACCAGCTAGGTAAACACTAAACAGTCTCATTTCACAAGACTCCTGTCTCTCAGCAACTCATCTTTTATTCAACAACTCAAATGTGTCCAGTTCTCTCTCTCTCTCTCTCTTTTTTTTTTTAATATTCATTTATTTATTTGGCTGCACTGGGTCTTCGTTGCAGCATGTGGGATCTTTAGTTGTAGCTTGCAGGATCTTTTAGTTGCGGCATCTGGATCTTTAGCTGCGGCACATGGGATCTAGTTCCCTGACCACGGATTGAACCTGGGCCCCCTGCATTGGGAGCACGGAGTCTTCGCCACTGGACCACCACAGAAGTCCCTGTCCGGTTGTCTCTTGCTTGCTGTTTCCTTTACTAGAAACGCACTAGGCTCTGCTAACTCTTCCTCATCCTTTATATCCTCACTTAAATATCAGGAAAGTCTTCCCTGACCACCCTATGTGGGTGAGTTTCCTCTGCTCCAAGCTTCTCTAGTGCCATGGTTCGTTACCCTTGCCACACTGGTCAGTATTTGTCCAATGTCTGTCTTCCCCACTAGATTATGAATTTAATGCAGTCAGAAATCTTATCTATCCTGTTCACTACTATATCCTATATGCCTGTCTCAGAGGAGGTACAGAACAAAAATTTGTTGTATTCATCAATGAACTCTTCAGAAGAAAAACTGAAAAAGACAGGGCAGAAAGTAAAAATGTGGTTTCTGGGTATCACAGGCTTTCGCCATCCTCTCTGTTCAAGTGCAGGGTTTGTATTCCCAGATCCTTTACTCATCCACAGTTTAAAATCTAAAATAATTAATTGCACAATGCAATACCCACTCTCCATCATAAGCCTATGTATCTCTTTCTATGGACAGTCTCAAAGTGAAAGAAAAGTAAAAGAGAAAATACGGCATCTGTCACAAGAAAAATGAAAAGGCTTATTTTGTTCACCACCTCCACTCTCACTTGTTGAGAACCTGCTATCTTTTAAGGAAGAATGTTAAATGATTTATACTATTTTTAATCCTTAATAAAAGTCTCTGAAGAACGAATTTGTATTCTCCTTTTACATTTATGAAAATATAGAAGCTCAGAGCAATATGCTGACTTGTGCAACAGGCAGTAGAAGTGGAGCTCAGGCCAGGGTCAGACCGGCTCAGCACTGTGTTCACTACACATGCTGCCTCTGGCTGGCACAGTCCCCTCAGGAAAGTTCTCGAAAGCTAGAAAGTGACTCAAACTCTCCCCAAAACATTTGGTACATCATTCCCCACCTTCTCCTCTTTTCGTCCCACCCCAGCACAATTCAAACACCAGCGCCATGTTGCCCCTATTTGGAAAAGTAATGATAAAATCCATTATGACATTTCACCTTCATGGAGGCTTTGTTCTTAGGATAGTAAAAAAAACAAGATACTTTACATTTTCTGTTTTAAAATATACACTAAAAGGAGAGTGCTTTTAAGAATAACAAAATGTATTCGCAGGTACCAGTGGAGAACGGTTTCCCCTTTCCTTTCTCTCTTCTCCACTTAGTATGCTGGGCAATTCTATGTCAAGGGAACTCTGAGTGATGAAGACTCACCCTTTCCATCTCTTTGAAGTCATCATCTAGCTTGGTTCCTTCAGCTCCTCCAACTTTCTCACTCACTTTCTGTAGAAAATAACCCAAAAAAGGAATTATAAATAAAATTTCTTTTAAACATGTGTCACAAGTTTTAAGCACTTTGACAAACATCATCTAATACAATCTCATAACTATTCTCTGATGTAGGTGGGCCGTCCCACTTTCATAGGAGACAGCTTTGGCTCAGCGGATATGAACAACTTACCAAAATCCATGCATCTGGTAGGTACTGAAGCAAGAATTCAAACTTATATCTTCTGATTTCAACCCTAGTGCTCTTTCTATTATATAAATCATCACACAACTATCAAATCACTAACGTTTTCGTTTTGAAAGTTCCTAGGGAAAACAGCATCATACAGTAATCATTTCCCTCTGATAATGGATCTAAAATGCTACCTAGGTAGAAAATTGCTACATCTTCAACCTATTCCTCAATGGGCTGTTGAACAGATAATCACAAGCATCTATCAAACTGGTATGAAAAATATCAGCCTAGCTGATCTTCAGATCTTATAAATCTCCCTGTAGCTGTCTACATCCTTATATACATACGATAAACTATGTGGAAAGATGTTGAGGGTACTTCTTTGCTACCCAATCAATTCCCATTATCATACATTTTACTTTCATCAGTTTACATATGCCAATGGTCATTTTCCACATGTAGAATTCATGTTCATTAAAAGATTAGATATTCTATTCTGTTTTGAAATAAAGACTCAAATTAAGTCTAATAAAAATTATGAAGGGATCACAAGGAAGATACTTTAATTTCATCAAAGACAGGAAATATTAAATGCTAATGACACCAGAATTTCATTCCTCTTAAAATAACCGTAAAGGTAGTTAGATGCTTTTTACTAAGATGTCACTGTGCTACATAAAGTTATCATACACAGACAATGAAGTATAATTTTCCATTTCCTTTAATAGCCACTGTGTTGAGGGTCTTTGCAGAGGATCCCCATCGTGGCCAGACCTGCAGCAACCTCAGTAACAACTTGCGTCATCCAAGTGAGCTTGGGTTACCTCCTTCTAAAAGGGTCCTGGGATACATGGCTCCATCTTTCTGGCCGTGGAAGCTCTGATATCCCCTTATAGAGGGCTGAGGTATAGTCCTTACACACTCTTTCTTTAACTCCTGCCTTCTGCCATCAGGAAAACCTCTAGAAGAGATCACTCTTGGGAAAACCAAGAGTCCGAATTCTATCACCACTCTGGCCCAGATTTCACCTCAGCAGCACTAACAGGAGGAATATGTTATGATGGAAGGGCATGGAATGGACTGCCATGGTACACAGAGTTTTTATGAAAATAAATGGCATAGTAAATATAAAAACCGGTGCGTGAACCTACAAGACATGCAATATATCCTAGTTCCGTTCCCTTACCAGTAAATTGTATATCTGATTAAATACCCTGGTCTTTCCCATCAGTTTATTTAACTGTTGTTTCGTACTTTGAGAAGAATCTAGCAATTTTCATTAACATAATACAATGTTAGGCAGATAAAGGTCGATGATTAAAAATGAAATGTTAGTAAAAACAATATTCACATCTTTAATTTGTATAACTGGCACTTTCACTTGTACTTTATCATCCAGTAAGCATACCATAAGAACTATGTAGAGCAGACATTATTCCTATGTTGCAGATGAGAAAACTGAGGCTTGAGTAAATTAAACTGCCTGTCCATGGTAGGGATCTTTAGCTAGGAAGAGGTGGAACCAGGACCTGGAAGGCAATTTTCCCAAGTAAACCCTAGGTGGCTTTGCATTTGCACCACAGCACTGAAGAGCTGTCCGTGGTGCTGGCCACTTCTGCCTGAAGTTCCTTTAGATTCAAAGGGCCAGATGGCCAGAGTTAGATTCACTGCTTCAACCTTCGGTCCCTGACATCAGCACTCTCACTTAACCTGTATCCTAGGTGATGATGGCTATCAACTATTTCAACAGTCTGCACAGATCCAGGTTTTGTGTAGCATCACTATCACCAAAACTAAAAAGCCTGTATCAGCTGTGATCTGGCCCAGAAGTCAGCTTCTTTACCTACTTTCTTAAAGACGTTTACCAACCCAGAAATGGGGATGGGAAGGCCTTAGGATTCAGTTTAGAACCTCCTAGTGGAATTCCAAGTGCCAGTAACATAACCTGCATGTTGAGGTTTAATTTATAGAAAAAGGGATAGAAGGGGACTTAAAGGTTATTAATATCGAATTTTCCCTATCACCAAACTAATTTTACTATGAGTTTTACACTGATTCCCTCCCTTTCACTTTGCTCAGTGATGGCAACTTTAGCTCATACTTAAGCCCCTCTTGTGTCTTATTCTTGAAGTATGTGGTTTTCTGTTAAATTTGGGCTGGGAAACTCTAATCTTGGTGAACTCCTGCACAATAAAGAAATATAAGCTACACAACCCCGACTCAACTGTCTCAGTTCTACCTGTCTGTTTTCGATGTCGCGGAACTCACTATATCACAAGGCCCCATTTTAGTTAAAGAGGATCATTATAGATATACCCCTCCCATGACCCGTGAATGAGATATTTAATTTTCATTTGCAAAACTGTCACAAAAACCAAGCAGCTGAGAAATGTCTCCATTTACAGTATCATTAGAGAATCCTGGTAACCTTGGGTTAATCACATTTTGGCCATCTCTAAGCCATAAAATATGACCTTCATCAAAAGCACAAGGGCTTATATAATACTTTCAATCCCATATTGCTCAACTGAGAGTAATTTTAATTTCCTCCCATTTTGCATCCATCAACAGGTTAGCACCACAACTGCTGGCTCTATATCAAATGGGATCACACTGGCCATTAGTAACTTAGAACTAGTCCTGGTAACTCACATGGAGGACAACTCATCAGTCCACTGGCTTTAACTATTTGGCTTAAGTACTGAGGGGGAGGCAGGGGGAGGCAGGAAGACAGAGAGGAAGGGAGAGAGAGAAAATATGAATCTTTCTATTCTCCACAAAAGCTGACATTTGAGCTGCTCTGAGAGAAACAGTTCACCAAATATACTGAATGAAGCTAACAGGTAGATACTGGTCCTGGTCTGATTATTCGGTTGATATAAATTTTCTTATCTAATTAGATTCACGGAAAAAGAAGAGTATTCAAAACGACATCCACATTGTTCTCTGGGCTATTTTTTTTCCCCAAGTCACAAAGGATCTAAACATATCAAGGCATTGAATTAAACAATGTGTTAAATAACAATCTTCTCACTCCTTAGGAGTATGCCAAACATTTTCTCCTCCTGTTCTTTAAATAACATTACTAAAACTTCTATTGCCTTTGTGTATAAGAGTCACGGTGAGGAAGACAGGCTCTCTGAGCTCATTTGGCCAACGATGAGTTTTGTTTTCCTCACCTAGCACCATTTATTTAAGAATAGTTTTGCCCTACTATTTTCCAGTGAGGTGGTTCCTAAAACCAAGATTTCATAGAATTGAATGATTTCCGATGCTGTTTAGTATACTTTAGCTAATATGCTTGCTTTTTGAGAAATTGATCCCCTATTTAAATAAATACCAGCAAAAGTTATGTGAATCAAACAAAACAGTATAAATGAGTCGATATGCCCACCTGTACTGTCTAAAACCAACTCTTCTGTTCAAAATCTTCAATCGTACCCATGTAGCACAACACTGAGAGCTTATACTTTTTTTTTTTTTTTTTTTTTTTTGCGGTACGCCTCTCACTGTTGTGGCCTCTCCCGTTGCGGAGCACAGGCTCCGGACGCGCAGGCTCAGCGGCCATGGCTCACGGGGCCCAGCCGCTCCACGGCATGTGGGATCTCCCTGGACCGGGGCACGAACCCATGTCTCCTGCATCGGCAGGCGGACTCTCAACCACTGCGCCACCAGGGAAGGCCTGAGAGCTTATACTTTTAATCTTATTTTCTATTACACTCTCCATATATTCTGTATTCCAACCAAACCGAAAATCTCACCTTCTTCTTATTCTTCATTGTATTCCTCACAACACAGACTCAGGAAAGATTTGTGGACTGAACTACAGTGTAGTTTTGTAAATGTTAATGTTAAGATGACTGAAAGGAGGCATAAAGTAAGGCAAACAAGACGGATTACCTCACTCAGGGATAGTTTTTCTCTTCAAAAAAAGAAAATAAATAATATAATCAACTCACGTTTTAAATTAAGTCTTAATTCTGAGTCTGCAGTAGTGTTGTCTCATGCTATTTTTTTCTATATGCCAAATAAGAAAAATGTCAAGGGAACCAGCAGCAGGAGACAGCTTAAATAAATGACCACTGTTCCCAGCCCAAAGGATGCCTCCCGCTTTCCAACAATGACTCACCCTCTCTCCCACATCAACTGTCAACTCTAGGCAAAAGACACTCCATTCTCTAGTTGCAGCTCTGATTCTTCCCTGCATTGCATTTCAATCAAACGCTGAAGATCCAACTACCGTGTCTCCAGCTACTTTTTATAAAGGTCTCCTTGAAAATCACATCAGTGAAATTCAATAGACTTAAGACCAAATTGATTCATACGTCACTGCCTAATGTCCCTGCAAAGTTATTTACTGCCTAATGTCCCTGTTTTTCTTTAGCTTTGTCTCATCATTCATTATACAAAGCCGGGTTTCCTTAGCATCCACCAAATATGCTGTGTTAATTCCTTCTGCCTTGTACCGGGACCTATTTCTCTTTTCTTATTTTCAAATCCTATCAATTCTCTAAGTTGCTCACCCAGATTTCACCTTCTCCATCTTCATCCTGATTGCCCTAGATGGAAGTTACTAGATTTCCTGTGAACTCTTAATGAAACACATCATCTGTTGGACTCCCTGGAACTAGCTACTTGATGAGTAAAATTGCTGAGAACTTCTGCTCATCTTATTGTAGGATGCAAAAGGTGGGAATCATGTCACATGCTTCTTTGTCTGAAAACATCTGAGACTGCAGTACCTAACACAGTGTTTGCAGAGCAGACAATTATCAGTTGAAAAAAAAATGTATCTCAATGAATTATTCTAAGACAAAAA